GTGAATATAAATGAAGGAAAAATGCATTTGTCAAAGCCAAAAAAAGGACATTGCAGTAATAAAGACATGGGCTGATGACAGTATGGGTGAAAATGTCTGTCAGACAGACAGCAAAGCCTGTATCTTAGAATCATGAAGAAGAAAAAATCAGCAAGACAGATTCCTTACCACAACATATTGAATATATTTTTATAGCTCAGCTATGTCAACAAAATGATAACTAACTTAAACTGAAAATTTGGACTAAATCTCTAATATCTAACAGTTAAACCAGTATCAGTCCAACATTACTATTAGCTTATATTCAGCTTGACAGCTGAATCTAGTCCCTGAAGTTCTGTTTCCTTACAAATCTTTCAGATATCCTGTACACGACATCTTTAAACTCAACAGCTGTATTTTCTATTAATATTTTAATTCTAAATATGTTCAAAATCATGCTTGAATATTTTATCACTTAACAGCATCAACCATTCACATCTCTCAAGAATTCATGAGAATTTTAGAATTATGGCTGTAGTTAGGAAAATGAATAACAGTAAGTCAAAGTCTAAGACATGCTGATGAATAGAAAGGTCTTCATTACTTGCATCTTTAATTACTTAAGCTTAGATAGTAGAAATTAAATGAATTTCACATTTTGCATTCACATCACAAGTCATACTTTACCACATTAAAAAAACCATTGTATTTTTATCTATATTAAACTTACTACTTTTTTTCTTTTTCTAATCTGACACTAGTATGGAACCAGTGAATTAACAGAGAACGTTTATACCATCAACAGAAATATCATAAGCCAAGAATGACCCCTTCGATCCTATAAAACATCACATCAGTTACAAAGGAAAATCTGAGCCACGATTAAGAGCTCTTCCATTTACTGTCTGCCCATTGTGTTCTCTGTTCCTCCACATGTGAAGTAAAAACTGCTAATCTGAAGTATGAATACAGCTACAGAGCTACCCAAACTAGCTTTCTGTACCTGGATTTGTGCAGCATCCTATGTAGGTAAAGCAGACTCTCTCTCTAGAAGTGAGTACCGTGAGAATAACAAGCCCTAACTATAACTAAAACAATTCTTTTCAGCAACATTAACCTTTGTATTATACATGGGCATGAAATATTTAAAATGTCTATCTGAAAACATATCACTATAGTTTCACTGCTACCAAAAAGTGACCCCGGGAAATTTCACAATTGCATGTAATAATTTTTGCCCTCATTACGTAGCATTCCATTACATAGCAAATTTCAAAATGGAATCAAAGCTTACTAGAAAGGTTACCGATACCTTTATTGAGCATGACAAAATGTTAGCAACTATAAACTCCTGGCAAACCAAAAAAGTTTGACATTTTCCCCCTCCCCAGCTTCCTAAATTCAAAGGTTTTCTCTTGGGACACTGCAGTTTGAAATAGTTGTCCTTCGTTTGCCATTGTACTGTATTTTACAATAGTCGGACAGGAACAATTTATAAGGACATGGACAAGTGGCATGGAATAATCTGTGGAAAGTCAAGAGGTGCCAGTTTTCATAAAGCAGAGACATGGGACAAATTCCACAAATAACATTGTAAATTGCTCTAGATTTTACATATAAAGCATCATCTTTCTCCTCACGTGTCTATAGCTAAAACTTATGCTAACCTGCAAACCTCATGTTTCAGAGGAGGTCTACATTGATATCTTATCAAATAGATGGCAGTAAGAACAGTAACTTGTTCAAACATTAAAATGAACACAACTTCTATCATGACTTGATTATCATCTTACAGTGAGAAAATTATTCTGTTAAGTTCTTTCAAACATGAAAAATATGGGATGGCATGAACACAGTTTTATATGCTTCTGTTACAAGTTTACATATACATGATTAGTTATATACATATATATAATATATACAATATATACATTATTATTTCAACATCTGGAGGCCTGAACTGGTTTCTTCCTCTATTTCCCTCATCAAAATTTATTTCCTTTGATATAATAATACTTAATTCTACAAATGTAAACCAAGTACCAAGTAGTTTTCAGGTTTTATCACTCCGTAGTATTAGTCCAGCCAGTCTAACTCCTTTGATTGCAAAATTTCTTTCTCTGCTACACAATACAGAAAAAAACCAAAACCAAAATAAACCACACACACATGCTATCTGTAATAAGTAACTATTATCATGCACAGCTGAACTTCTGGTATATAAATCTATTAATTAATCTGTTCATATGAGGAAGAGTAAACACCACATACTTTTACTCATTGTTTAGGTTGCAACAAGGCATACTTAAGAGAATGCAAATAAATATCTTAAGAGCAAAGATTATTTCCTATCATCGTCCAGTCTGTAACATTACTGATAATATACTTCATCAAATAATAAGAAAAAAATATTGCAAAAGCAAGTCCTTTAAAACTGGCCTTTCAAAACCTGCTCAGTGTCTCATCGGGCATATCACCACATCTTGATGTTCTGGCAAAATTATTCTGCCTTAAAATTCCTGTGAGGTTTTTAAGTCTACTGAAAGAGGTCAGACATGTAAAAGAAAAGCGTGAGCTTTCACGGCTAAAGAACCAGACCCTCCAACTGACAATTAAGAGAGACTTGCCTTATCTATGTCATATGCAGAAAAACAAATACAACGCACACTATGTGCAAGAGAAATGACTGGATGCATGTTTTGATGATTCTTGATGTAGTCTACAGAACACAAAATTTCAGTACAAAATGTACCATAACTATGACTTCTCAGTAATGTGAATTCAATGCAGAGCACTCCAACAGGACATACTGAACTTCCTAATTTTCCAATGTAATTTAAATGCCTATTACTTGAGCTACTACTACTCTGAAGACTAGGCAATGGTCTACAGCTATGATTAACAAAGTGGAAGAATAATGGTTTTTATTCTTGCCTGTGGGAGAGAAGTATCATTTGGAGAATTGACAACACTTTAGTTCAGTCATTTTAAAAGGTCATGTTACACAATAAAGAAGGCCAAGCCTTTTAGTGATAACGTCTGATAGTGTGTCCTGGTTTCGGCAGGGATAGAGTTAATTTCCTTCCTAGTAGCTGGTACAGTGCTGTGTTTTGGATTTAGGATGAGAATAATGTTGATAACACACTGATGTTTTAGTTGTTGCTAAGTAGTGCTTACACTAGTCAAGGCCTTTTCAGCTTCCCATGCCCTGCCAGCAAGAAGCTGGGAGGGGGCACAGCCAGGACAGCTGACCCAAACTGGCCAAAGGGATATTCCATGCCATATGATGTCATACTCAGTATATAAACTGGGAGGAGTTGGCCAGGGGGCAGAGATCGCTGCTCGGGGATGTGATGGGATGGGCATCGGTCGGCAGATGGTGAGCAATTGCATTGTGCATCACTTATTTTGTATATTCTTTTACCATTATTATTATTATTTTCATTCCCTTTTCTGTCCTATTTAACTGTCTTTATCTCAACCCATGGGTTTTACTTCCCCGCCCCCCAATTCTCTCCCCCATCCCACTGGCAGAGGAGGGAACGGTGAGCGAGTGGCTGTGCGGTACTTAGTTGCCGACTGGGGTTAAACCACAACATAGTGATAAAGCTAGCACTAGTGTACAGATCCTCAAAATTACTAATTGCATTTCTATGTTGTAAGCAAGCTAAAGCAGTCTGATAAATGTGTTCCAGCGTGTTCCTGATTTATGTGCTTTATAGTCTAGTTTACATAGCCTATAAAGAAATTAAACCACAAAGAAATACCTTAATTATTAAGTAAACAAATATGAACATATGTAAGGAGAACAAAACAAATCTTCATAGTACTATACCTTAGGATTATTTACTTTAAACATAGTTGTAATTGATTCAGTAGAGAGGGGAAAATTCTGAACTTTGGTGCTGGAAATCAACAGGAAAAATTTAATAGGAAGGATTAACAGTGAACAATTGTAGTTGAGAGGCATGGCTGCCAACATTAAAGTTGTTTTTGACAAAATACCATAAATTGAGAAAATCTGAGTGTTAGCAGGTAGTATAAATTAAAGTTGTTATGTTGCGCCCTTAGGCATTTATTTATTGCAAAGATAGGCAATGACAGTTAAAGTGCTCTGAATAAATCATTTTATGAAGAAAGATAAAATAGATTGAAGTGATACACAAATTTACACAATGGTTCATTTGTACAGGGCAACAGAGTTCAGTCAGCTGCAGAGAAAATAAGCTGTTAACGGGCCATTTCCTCGGGGCAGGCAATGGTGTGGGCTTTGCAGCATGGTTTGTTTACAGTCAGCCTATAAACAGGACTTTAACGCCTTTCAGGCATTGCATGTGTATCATAGGGTAAAATTCAATATAAAATATTTCCATGAAAGTGAACTCTCTCCAGTTCACAAACACAACTGAACTTCTACAGGGGTATGCACATGATTCTCCTATTTACCATATTCAAATCCCATTCCAAACAACTCCCTGATATGCTCTTTGCTGGAAAAATGTAAGGTTTTGAAATGTAGGGACCTGAAGTAAATACTCTTACAGTTCTTTTATTTCCCACTGAAAAACAGGCTCCTTATTTTAAAAGACTGCTTGCCTGGCTTTTTTGAAAGAATGAACATCACCTTGTTAGAGTGTGCTGTTATATTATACAGATGAGAGATTATAAATAAATAACTCCAGTCATGCATTTAAGATTAAAAAAAAATCCAGTTACCTTTTCAGAAAATCTCTTTGTGAAAAACCAAGGCTTTACTTGTATCTCCAGAAATCATCTTCTCAAAGTCTGTCTCAGTTAAAACAGCATTTTTCCAGAGTGAACAAAGAAAATACATCTCCTACTGCTTATAGTCCATTACTTCAGGTCTAACAGTTTTGGAGCAACTCTGACAAACAGCCAGACACTGTCAGTCTCGTTGCAACTGCTACTATTTTGTCATAAATTCATCCCCAAGTAACGCTAGGAAGCTAAATTTAATAAATACCACCCTGCGCTTGAAAAATATCCCCTTCACTTACTTGAAAGTCTTTCTCTTCCAGGATCTCTTTCCTCCATCTGACAAGGAAGGCAGCACAGACATACAAGTGGAAGTGAGAAAAACCTTCTGGTTCAGACTAGAAAAAAATAGAAATAAATCATCACGTCAATACACAAATAATACATTTGATCACCATATACCCCAAGTGTATTTTTATGGCATTCACTATTAACTACAAATGTCAGCTAAACCTCTCTCTCTTTGTATCACAAACACGTATGCATTTCATCTATGCCAAACCTATTCATAGCTATTATCTGTAACAGGAATTAAGGTGAGGTATGCATTTCTCCTATTTAAATTCATTCTTTACAGATGTGTTTCTTCCATTTCTGATGTTACCCACTAGCTTATATCTGGCATGAAATACTACACTGTCTAGCTCAATATTGTGGTGTGAATGAATGCCATAGTTTCATTTGATACTAGTAGCTTTTTCATTATAAATTCTGCTATAGGAAATTATTAAGCATTTTAAAAAATATACAACTCAGTCTATATTTGACTGAATTACAGGTTTTTACTAAATGAAAAAAAATCTACTCCTTGTAACACAAAACATTTACAACTCAGATTTGTATTCAGATCTGCAGCATTCCGTTCTAGTTCAAGTCAGCAGATTCAGTCACTTTATAAAACTCCCCCTAGAAATTAAGATTCTATAAGTATACCTAAGAGTTTAGAAAAATTTGTGATCCTACTTTTAAGACTTCACTAAGTTTTCTTGTATTACCAAATTAATCTTAGATTTTGTTTTCTATACCACTAAGAACTGAAAAAATAATTATCATATTTAATTATCAATGCGATGACTGTGACCTAATGCTATGTAAAATCTCATTAAAATAATATTTAAAAATAATAATTATTATAAAATGAAGCTACATAATCTGACAAATGTAGGGATACTTAAATGCTGATATCTAAATAATTTATAAGATCGAATTGTAGTGCTTTAGAAGTATAGCAAATTTTTTTCATACTCTACTGGTCATTTCAAAATTGCAGTTTGCTCTTTCGACAAATACAGTGTTCTGCTCAAGTAAAGTGAGTGGAAACAACTTCTTATGTAAAACATAACATGGTAAAATATCTATTTTATTGCTATTTCACCTAGAAGAGCACGGTATTTAAAATATTCCATATAACATTCATAACAGTGCAATAAAGTAACCGCACTGCTATCACAAGTGGAGAAGGAAAAATATTCTCCTACTACTTTTCCTTCTCCTCTACCCTTGACTGATAGAAGTGCATAGCGTACTGCAAGGGGTTGGTACAAACACCATGTTAGCAGCTGCAGAAACTACAGATCATCCTGTCCACCAAATCAGTAAGAGTCAAGAAAACAGATAATGCCAATTATTTGCAGGGAAGTTTTAAGTTTAAAAGTGTAGTTGGAACTGAAAATAGGAATTAGTTAATTTTGGAACCAGAAAAGGAAGATTCTGATCATAAGATGCTGTGGTATTTTTCCTACTCTAGGAAAACACTTTTCTTTAATAACATGACTTGAATAACATTGTAAAATCCCAGGACAGACAAAGCATATGGTAATTTTAACTAGACTTCTCTCTAGAGTTTGTCTTAATCAGAAAAATCAAAGTAAAGTCCAATTTACAATATTAGAGTTTTACAGAATCATGTACTCACTACCATCGTCCTGAAAAATCCACGTCTTTTACTTTAGTGTTGGCATTTCTCTTGGGATGGAAAGTTAACATATATAAAAGCATAACATGGTATCTCCAGAAGACATGCTTGTAAGGAAAGTGCTGCTACCACTTATATCAGATACTATTTTGGCAATATTTAAATAATCTAAAACACAAATCTAAAAAACAACTCTCAAAAAATGCAAAAAGCCAATTCTAAGAAAACAACCCTGTTCCTACTTTATTGTGTAAAGAAATTTACAGAACATGCAGTATTTTTTTTAAATTCAGCCTTTGATAAACTTTTATAACATTTTCATCTCTAAAATGAGAAAAGGTATTTTAAAATTTTAAAAATTAAGTATGGAAACAGTACTTGTGGTCTATTTTTTCTCAGCACTGAACTGCAACCAATTTCTCACTTTTAATATGAATTTTAAAAATGTCCTTTCAAGTAGGAGCCTTTAATCATACATGAAAAGTTTCTATTATTTTGGAACACAACCAATCTCATAAAAGTGACAACCTTTCTTCAAATTTGGAAGGCAAACAGGGTAGTAATGTCCAACGAAATAGACTGCGTTTAAGACTAAGTCAACAGTCTGTACAAGCAAACACCAACACATTTTCAAGAAGCCCACTCTAAAGTATGTGCTGTCACCGGTGGAGACTTTCTGGCATAGTAAAAACCAGCTCAGTTCACCTTTACCTGGTGAACTATCACCTGTGGTTAGGCCTACTTCAAAGAATGGGTAACTGAAGTGCATGGCACCAGCCTGAGCATTTGCAATCAAACAGGAAAGCAGGGAAGAAGAAAAATGATGGTTATGAGATGGAGGCAAATAAAGCTGGACTGAGATTGCTGAACAGATAAAGAAAAGTACAGAAATACTGCTGAAGGCAGATTAAGAAAGAGGAAGACTATTTTTGCAGATGAAGAAGTAGGAAGACTGAATAGTCTGTAGGCAGGAAAATTTCATTTAAAATAATAATTATTAATCAGGTTATTTAATGTATTGGATTATTTGTTATTCTACCGGAATATAATAAAAGTTTACGTTTCTTTAATTACATGACATGAGCAAGAGGGAACTGAAAGGAACTTGGTTTGGTATTAATATATTCTAATCCTCCTTTCTTCTCCTCACTCCTCCAACATTATATAAGTTCTTGAAAAGCATAGGGGAGAATGGGGCAGGATTAAAGAAATCTATCTGAAAGCAGCATTTTAACTTTCAAAGTCAGTTTGCAGTAGCTGTTGGTAAAATTGTTTATTTTGCTCTCTCTTACATTGACTCACAAAACAATATGACATAGGTAGTCAAATTAGATCATCAGAGTATTCTTTTTTCTGATAATAACCTAAGATTCTGATTTTAAGCCCAAGAATTCATTTTATTATCACATAATAAAGAAAATTCTTCCATAGCCAGAAAGTCAACATAAGTGGTTTTTAAAAAAAAACAAAATTAAAAGCAAAAAACCCCAGAACTGCAATACTGGAAAATGAAAATGTTTTTGAGGAATTGCAGAAAAAAATATCTGGAAGGATATAAGGACCTGTACTACTTCTTCAGATTTTTCTGTTCATAGAATCATAGAATCATTAAGGTTGGAAGAGACCTCCAAGATCATCGAGTCCAACCGTCAACCCAACAACACCATGCCCACTAAACCATGTCCCTAAGCGCCTCAGCTACACGTCTTTTAAATACTTCCAGGGATGGGGACTCAACCACTTCCCTGGGCAGCCTGTTCCAATGTTTAACCACTCTTTCAGTAAAGAAATTTTTCCTTACATCCAATCTAAACCTCCCCTGGTGCAACTTGAGGCCATTTCCTCTCGTCCTTTCGCCAGTTACTTGGGAGAAGAGACCGACACCCACCTCACTACAGCCTCCTTTCAGGCAGTTGTAGAGAGCGATGAGGTCTCCCCTCAGCCTCCTTTTCTCCAGGCTAAACAACCCCAGCTCCCTCAGCCGCTCCTCATAAGGCTTGTTCTCCAGACCCCTCACCAGCCTCGTTGCCCTTCTCTGGACACGTTCCAACATCTCAATGTCCTTCTTGTAGTGAGGGGCCCAAAACTGAACACAGTACTCGAGGTGCGGACTCACCAGTGCCGAGTACAGGGGCACGATCACTTCCCTACTCCTGCTGGCCACACTATTTCTGATACAGGCCAGGATGCCATTGGCCTTCTTGGCCGCCTGGGCACACTGCCGGCTCATGTTCAGCCAGCTGTCAACCAGCACCCCCAGGTCCTTTTCCGCCAGGCAGCTTTCCAGCCACTCTTCCCCAAGCCTGTAGCGCTGCATGGGGTTGTTGTGGCCGAAGCGCAGGATCCGGCACTTGGCCTTGTTGAATCTCATACAGTTGGCCTCGGCCCATCGATCCAGCCTGTCCAGGTCCCTCTGCAGAGCCTTCCTACCCTCGAGCAGATCAACACTGCTGCCCAACTTGGTGTCGTCTGCAAACTGACTGAGGGTGCACTTGATCCCCTCATCCAGATCATCGATAAAGATATTGAACAGAACTGGCCCCAATACTGAGCCCTGGGGAACACCGCTCGTGACCGGCCGCCAACTGGATTGAACTCCATTCACTGTTCAACCTTTTTGTTTTTTTCAATACAATTGTCTTCAGCTCTTTTAAATGAAACCAAATAGATTTAAATATGCAATTCATTAGAGAAAAAAATGCATATCCCCCTATAGATTTAAAAATTCATCATGCTTTAGAGATAAGTCTAGGCTACAAAGTATTTCCAATGGATAGTTTTAGACAGTTTTGGAAATTGAGTAAAACACCTAATGCATAATGGCCTTTTCTAACACCTGCTACCTATTATACTTTTCCATTTGTAGCTTTTGCAGTTACAAACAGTTTGATCTCTAAATGTACAGAAATGCAGACTACCAGCTAAAAGCTATTTTAAATCAAATATAAACAATGACCTTGATTTAAATATTTTAGCAAAAGATCTCAAGACAGATGTACAACCTTCCAGAAGACTTATTCTGAACATATTACAGACGACTCAGAGCACATTATCTAAGAACCATCTGTCATTATCAATAAAAATCATTTAAATTGTTAACATCACAAATATCTCATTGCCCTGCAAATGCTGGATCTCCTCTGCAGCTGAAATGAATGGCATTCTTTATACTGTACTCCCCAAACCTCTTGAATTAGACAATCACTGAAAGAATGCAAATTTTGTTGTATGACTACACTGATTATTGTCTAGTCAACGATTAGTGTAACCTGCCTCCCATACCCTGGATACTTCATCATTTAGGGAGGGTAATATCTCATGGTATTGTATTTGTTGATAGAGTATATACAATACGTGATTATTTTTGAAGTACTCAGAATGATTAAAGCTATAAAATTGTGCCAGGGTTAGGTATTAAACCAC